AGTTGCAGGGGGCACAGCCCACCATCCCATGCAGGAATCGAACTGGCAACCTTGTTAAGAGCATGCACTCTAACCAACTGAGCCATCTGACAGCTCAGCTGCAGCTCGGCTTAAATCGTCTTCAGTATAGTTGAAGAGAGCGCAGCTCACTGGCCCATGTGGAAATTGAACCGGCAACGTTGGTGTTCAGAGCATGCGCTCTAACCAACTTAGCCACCCAGCTGGCCCCTTAGGGAGGTCTTTTTTTTTTAAGATTTTATTGGGGAATTGGGGGAGGGGAACAGCCAAGTTGTTGTCCTTCAATCTTAGTTGTGGAGGGCGCAGCTAGCTCAGCTCCAAATCAAGTCGCGCTGCTCAGCTCAAGGTGCTGTATTACAATCTTAGTTGCGGGTGGGCGTAGCCACCATCCCATGTGGGAGTCAAACTGGCAGCCTTGTTGTTACGAGCACGCACTCTATCTCCTGAGCCACCCGGGCGGCAGTTCAGCTCAAGGTGCCCAGTTCAGTCTTAGTTGCGGGTGGGCGTAGCCCTCCATCTCAAACAGGCAACCTTGTTGTTAGGAGCATGTGCTCTCACCAGCTGAGCCATCCTGCCACCTGTTGGCAGCTCAGCTGGGGTGCAGCGTCACTGGCCCATGTAGGAATCGAACCGGCCACTCTGTTGCTCAGAGCTCACACTCTTGAACAAGGTCTTAACCAACTGAGCCACTCAGCCGGCCCAAATAGGTGGTCTTCTTAACGCCTACTCTAAACTCGGTCGTTTTTCGTTTCCTGCACCCCTATATTCTTTCTGCAACCTCACTAGTGACTTGGGTTGCTTATCAGCTCACCAGTCTCTATGCTTTTCCCATGTATACCCTTACCTAGCAATCCCTTTGCTCAAGACCCAGAGCCATTCCGTGTTGCCTGACGGAGCCTCAGGAGGATGGCTGGAGTGGTGCTCTCCTCCTGCCTTTGCATTTCTGCTGAGACCTTGGGCATCTTACGGGACCCCTGATCTCCTCTGCTCCTTTTGGGTGGGGCAGAAATCAACCCCCCAAGGATTATCCCACCCTTTACTCCCTGGCAGAGGAGCAACGTCAGGGAAGATCTCGTGTAAGACCCGCTGGACTTCACCAGCATTCTCTGAATTGATTTCATTTGGTCACAAGTCATGCCTGATGCCCGGGCTTTTCATCCAACCAGGCTTCATGCCAAAGTGCCTCACAGCAGCTGCGAGCTCGGTAGGCACGATCCAGTGTGCACCCGTGTGTCAGGGACGTCTCCTCCTTGTGGCTACGTGAATCCCATTTCAGGAGCATCCAGTGCAAGGACGGGGCAGCCACACTTGCTCTCTCCCCAGTGGCTGGACTAGCCAATTCATTGAGCGAAAGGGAATCTGGTGGTAAACCCCAAATGCTGGCCATTTGGTGTCACTTATGTCATTGGTGTGACTTCAGAAAGCAGTTCAAGCCTCAAGGGACTCCTGCAATGCCTGTTGGGGGTCCACTTCCATGTTAGTGTATCGCAGCCCCTCAGGCTGTACATCTGTCCCCCACTCCCACCCCCCAAGCCCCTGGAAGGTAAACTGCACAGGAGGTTAGGTTGTATGCTGTTCCAATGGCACTTAGGGCTGTTTTCTCCCAATTTCTTTCTCCTTAGGGCTCATGTGACTGGCAAACTTGTAAGGGATCAAATTGTCTCAGTCTGCCTTATGTGGAGGACTTGCCAGGACCTATGTGGCACGTGTCAGGCACGGCCACATACAAGCACTGCAATAACGTGTTGACCGTGATTTCAGCTCAGCTAGGGTTCCCACCACCAGCCCTAGGACGAATGCCGTCCATCCCTAGGATGACTATGCTGATCGCTTTTGCAGTTTCCAGAAAGCCAGAGCTGGAGCAAGTGGAGGCTGTCTCGTGGTGGGCGTCATCTGTGAAGCAGCGGGTGAAGGCCAACATACCAAAAGGGAAATGTTTTAATGAGGGGAGCTGACCAGCAAGGGGAGTCAGAAAGAAGCACATGGCCACCCACTGTCCCAGGCAGACAGGCAGGGCCGGGCACTGCTGGCTGCTCCTGGGCACTGTCCTCCAGGGAAGGACATTTCTCTGGGAGTTGCTTCTCCACAGGGCACCCTGACAACAGCTGCACACACAGAGGAAGCTGGGTTTGGACTGCGGGGCAGAGGAGCCTCTAGAAATTGGATCTGGGCCCAGTCCCTCCTGCTAGCTGGTTACCAGGCAACTTGACAAATGTTCCCAGCCACGGGGCAATCTTGTCTGCCCCTCCACACTGCAAGTGTCAATCTGATTGTTTCAAAGCCTTCCATGGTTCCCACCAATCTAAACTCTAACATGGCACTGCAGCCCCCCCCCCCTTGACAGTAGCTCCAGGTCGCCTCTGTCACTCCCTGCCTCAAATCCCATGTCCTAGTCACATTGAACTCTCGGAAGCTTCCGGAATACTTTTTCATGCGATGCCCCCAGCACTTTTTCTGGCAAACTCCTCCAATCTGGCCTCCCTCGTAGGTAAGATTTCATTTCACCTAAGCCGCCCTCTACCGACTCCACAGCACCCCGACTTGGGTGCTTTTCCTGTGCTCCCACCTCACCCTGAGCAGCATAGCACTTACTGTACCAGGTATCAGAACTGCCCGTGGACTCGAGTTCAGACTTAAGGTCTGAAATAGGATCTTTGAATCCCCCAAGAAGCTTGTGAAATGCCTATCTAGTGAATGTTCAGTAAAGAGTAAATGAGAACCAGATGACATCAGGTGGGTGGTTTCTTTTTTTTTTTTTTTTTTAAGATTTTTATTGGGGAATTGGGGGGATGGGAACAGTGCTGGGGAATCGGGGGAAGGGGAACAGACAAGTTGCTGTCGTTTTGTTCTTCAGTCTAGTTGTGGAGGATGTTGCTTCACTGGCCCAAGTTGACACCATCATTGCGCTCTTCTCTGGCGAGGCAGATCAGTCGCCGGCTTCTGGACGGCCACTCACTGCGGCTGCTGGCCGCTCACGCTGGCTGCTGACTACACACGGTAGCCCACGGCAACCCACTGCCACAGGGAGTGCAGCCTACGCCGTCGCCGGCGACTCATGGCAGCCCAGCTCCAGGTTGAGCTGTCGTTCAGCATCTTAGCTGTGGAGGGCAGGGTCACTGGCCCTCATGTGTGGGATCCGAACCGGGGCCCTCTGGCATCCCAAGCGAGTTCTTAACCATCGCGCCACTCGGCCGGCCCAGGTGGGTGGTTTCTTAACACTTACTCTCTGTAGCTTTGTCCATAGAACCCATGAAGACCTTATTAATACGCATACGACTCGGAGCTAGGATGCCTTATCAGCCATTTATTTAACCCATGAAGAAATTGAAACATGGACGTGAAATGACTTACCCAGTTATCACAGAGCTTCTCTATGCCCTGGTCAAGTGTGGCATCTACATCCTGATTCCCCCTTTCTACAGCGTAACTCCATCATGTCTCTGTCATGTAGTGTTTACGCTTTTTAATGATGCATGTTCGACGACTAGTATGCTGTTCTTTGATGCAGTATCTTACAGGTTTTGACCTCCAGGGAAATGTGACAAAGATACCTTAGTATTTACCAAAAAACCTTTATACTTGAAGAAATAACACTGGAATATGTGTCCCCTCTCAGCATAAGCCATCCGAGATCTGTATGATACTGAGTAACGGTAATAGACCCTAAGCCCCAGGATTTCATGTAAGCATCTTCTGTTGACACTTAATCTTCCAATTTTCAACCTACCCCTGAAATCAAGTGTATGATACACTGGAATTGGTGGGAAGACCTTCAAGCAATCCACTTTGAAGGTTAGTCTTTAAGCATTTAGCATCTGCAACTTGCCAAGACTTGTTTTAATGCTTCCCCCAGTAACATAAAACTCCTTAGCAGTAAAAAAAATGGATTCCCCCGTTTCCTCACGGAAAGTTCTGAGAAATGGCAAGAAATTTTCAAAATCGTCCCCAATAAAAATTTTAAACAATCCTAAATAAACACATAGAGGAAGAGATACTCAGGGTTTCAACGCTGGCCCCCGTTAAGTCTTCCGAGCAATCAAGACCAGCATCTGGAAATGGCTATTTCAGAATAACTGGTTATCAGAGGGATGGGGTTTATGAGGGAAAGACGCTGTTTACGGTCATGAAACAAACTGGCTAATAGGGATCACTTTAGTATACTGACTCTAAAAAGGTATTTGATTCCCAGCCACCAGACACACTCAACACTCAGATCATGATCGGATGAGGGAAATGCCTGAGGGAGCCAAGTAGAGTCTCCGGCCCATGCGCAGCACGGAACACTACTTGTGAAAGCAGGAAAACCCAAGCAAGTCACCCGAGGGCTGAATTCTACCTACCACCTCTCACAGGCTGCATTCAGCTCTTCTGGCTCTAGGAGAGTCCAGAACCAGGCAGCTCATGAGCAAAGAACCAGAAAAGTGCCGGAATGAAAAACTAGGCAAGCAGAAAATAAGGACCAATTTTTCTGGAAAAATAAAAACTAAAAACATCAATATAGATGAGACTGCCCTCATCACTGGATCATCTGGGATACTAACACTGGGTAGAACATCCACTCTCATGTCTCCATTTCTATTCTTTTCACCACAGCAGCCAATTCGGGCACATTCCACCCACAAACCTGTCATTTATTTTATTACTGAGATATTGATATCAAAGTTGTTGTTGTTTTAACTACATAGACACACTGAATATTTTCCAAATGGAAGGGTACGTTTATGTGTGGGCAGACAAAAGTATGTGTTTAATGTGGTTTAGTGGCCGTCTACATAATTAATGTGCTGAAATCTTGTAATTGGGAATATGGAGAATTATATTTTCAAATATCTATGATTTTGCCTTTTAAGGGCACATAAAAGGTTATTTGCAAGGCATATATGCTTTTGCATGACAAATAACTTTCCCCCTACATAGCATTCATTTTGTTTCCTTTATATTTAGAAATTTAAGACCAGGAGCAAACATCTGTCAGACTAATGTTTTGCTTTTTCATAAGTGCAACTTTTTAATACAAATTTACATCTAGATAAACAATCTTCAGAGTTTTGAAACTTTAATAAGATTTTTAAAAACATCATGACTTGGAACTGAAAAACATACACGTTTAGCACACAAATATTGTATTATGAATCAACTCCAACTCCATTTGAAAACATGTGAATCAAATTACAGTTTTAGAAGTTAGTAATTCACAAATTAAGCTAGCGCCTTGCCGAACTCGGCCTCTGTAAAGAGGCTTTCTGTATATTATAATGGCACAATGAGGCTTTTGTACCATTTTGTTGTTTTTTTTCTCCTTACTAAATAAGATCAAGTCCTTGCAAGTTGGTAGATAACGGCTAACTTCCGATAACGTGAAATTTCCAGCGGTAACAGTTACATTTTGTAACAGAACACTTTCTAGAGATTTCTTTTCCTATCTTAAAATTTTAAAAGCAATCATTTGTAAGGATTGCATCAACATCAATTTAGCAGAGAAAGATCAAACTTTATTGAAACTGCTTGCATACAAAATATATTGCACTATAACCAAACAAATGTCAACATAAAATCTGTTGTTGCTAATATGTACAGAGAATATTGCCCAAGAGCAGTTACATTACAAGGTCATTCTACCTTGGTTAATTATCTACAGTATTTTAAACCAAACAGCTTACAGATGATGTGTGCAAGGTACCAATTTCTGTTTTCAAATACTATACATTCCCAGAATAAATAACTAGAAATCAACATTAATGTTTGGCAATACTTTTAAAAGACTTTTTAATATTCTTGAAATCATGTGCAGTTTGTTGCCATTTTTATATGCTTATTTGTATGCAAGGAAAAGTAACTGGAAAATGAAAATTCAAAGAAACAAACTCACAAAATACATCAGAGGCAGAACTTCGGTTTGTACGGCTCTGTACAGATTCAGTGGTACCCCGACTTGGAGTTATTTTTTAAGAAAAATATAACATCTTAGAGCGAAGGTCCTTCACATATTTTTCCTCAGTAAATTTCATTAAAAAAAAAAAGCTCAAAAATAAAACCTAAACCCAACACATCCAAAAAAAAAAAAGAAAGAAAAAAAGCTAAAGAAAAAAAAGTATTGTTAACCAATCCTAGTCTGCGTTCCAATTCTGCTTATACATTAGACCTAATATTTCAAAGTTTACAAAACATTTAACCTGCCTCCAGTATTTCTTAGACAAAGTACCTGTACTTCACAGGATTATTATGCACAAATGGAAATGACCTTTCTATATCCCCGAAAGAAGCATCAAATTAAAATATGAAAACATTCACAAAACAGGGGGGACGACAAAATAAAAAAGGCTCTAAGTTAAAACTGGTCATCAGGCCAAAGAGCAGGCATGCCCTACCAACTTTCGACCACAAAGGTTTGTTCCTAGCTGAAAGCATTTTAGCCTCTCTCAAATGAAAAGATCGTTACGTCTTCTCCTGTCGATACAGAAAATGACACATCCCTCTCAATAACACTATTTGTCAAACTTCAGTGCAACAAAACATAAACAAAAACAAGTCCTATTCTTTATACTGCCTAACCTGATGTTTATGCAAGGAAAAAAATATGGAAAGCATGCATATTCTTCTAGAAAGTACTAATGTTTGACAGGGTCTGCTACATCTTTAACATTTAGTGTTTCCAAGTTATCTTCCCTGAACTCTGCATCCAAATATAATAATCCTACCTGCCAAGATATAAAAAAGGCACAGATCATACAACTTTTGTTTTTTTTGCTAATGAAAATGACAAACGTCACATCACACACATCTCAGGGTCCACTAAAATACTGAAAAAGTGGACCAAAACATAAACTCACACAGGACATGAAATGACAGTATTTGCATGAGACTGAAAACAGAAGTCTAATTAATATGATAACTAGAAGTGCTATTTATTAAAGGACAAAAAAAACAAAACAAGAAAAATAACAACGAAAAACTGAAATGTACCAGTGAATTATCACCCAACACAGGAAAATGATCCAAATGAACAAAGAATTATCACTTCTCGGTACTTTAAAAAATAAACCCAACAAAAACCCTGTCCTGAAGTGGTAAGTATACTTAAAAGCAGTGCTCCAAAATTTCAAGGTACCTTTTTGTGCAAATCTGAAAATTGTTGCTTATGGCCAATACCAAAAAAATAAAATTCTTCAACAGAATTTGTGTTCATTTCATGCCCTGTGCCATCTTGCCTACTATTTGTCTTTGGCCTAACAAAGTTTTCTAATATGGAATAAGAATGACGGAAATGGTATAGGAAATGTAACTTCGGCATTCTGCAGTTTAGGGTACTCCGTTCACAAGTGGCTGCTGGCCATCCACGCTGTCTGGCTTCTCCTTCTTCTGGCTCCGATCTTTACCCGTGCGCAGCCGAGTACCTTCACTGGAGGTATTCTGTAATGTTTTAGTGTGGACACTCCTTTCATTATTGCAGTCAACTCTGATCTAAAACAAGTTACAGTTGTTATATACACAGACCACACCCTACTGTCATCTGTCATTGGCCTGCCAAGAAATTTAAGCCTGCAGTGTGAATTCCACATGGTAAAGGGGAAAGAGATTGGAGTGAGAACAGAAGGGCAAGAAATGAGGTCAGTAGGATCTTTATTAGGTTTATGATTTTAAAACACGCCTCTTCTTTAACTGGAACACACTGGTCATCTCAATGCATCCAAAGTTAGATAAAAACTCAAAATCCTACTGTGTCTTCTTCTAAGCAGAATAAAACAGTGAGAAACAAATAGTTAAAAGGAATTACTATTACTGATTATAAGATATACATGGCTAAAATACTAGAGTTAAAAGAATGGATATTCTTCAAAGATTATGAAACCCAGAAGAGAGACAAATTCATATCTTACTGTTGGACTTTACCAGTGTAATAAGTCAGCTAACTCACTTAGTAACTAGCCTTCAGTTTACACCTTTATGTCTATGGGTGTGAGTAAGTGTCTATACTGAGGGCTCCCACTGGCTTACAGTGGGAGAATCTGAGCAGTGGTTTCTGGCAGCTTGTATTTCAGTGAGGCAAGTCAGATGATCATATAACTTGAGCTCTGAAGAATAAGAATGGTTGAGGGAAATTTGAAAGCACTAATGTGTGGACAGACTGGAATCCCAGGAAGAGTTTCTAGATGACTGCAATTGAAAAATAATATTCTAAGATTTATGCAAAATTTTAAGTGACAACACTGAACGCTTAAAAAAAAACACACTACTAACAGAAGTCTAGATGCTGTACAAAAGGAAGATAATGTTGACCCATGGGCCTAAAACAACTACAAATATTGATCTGCTTCAAGTACAAATGCTACAGATATCCCAAAATGGTTCACTGTAATTTCAAACTGTGTTTAAGTGTTGGGCCTGGGTGTGCGTTTTAAATGCTTTGTTGTCAAGGGTTCTGTGCTTTGATTTAAATTTATTCTCATACTTACATAGACAACACCTTTCTTCCGATAGTTCGTTTTAATTATACATGTACATATGCATCCTTTCAACAACGGAATCCGATCCCCAATTTCATGGAACATGGCAGTTTAAGTAGGGAATTACAAAACCGCTCCATATACATGCCTTCCATCTTTGTAAAGCACATGCATGTATACATGATTTCATCCATCTCTTTATCTAAGTCTAAGGTCCTTTCCATGCTGGTCCGGAAGAACCCACCAGTGTTTTACACCTACTTACAACTGCTATGAAATGTAAAGAACGTTCTGTCGTGAAGTTTCTGCTCTTAAAAAGTTATTTCTGATTAACCTTGGGTGCTGGTCCCAAACCAATCCACGGTCAAGGAGGGACCCTAAGGAGTTGGATTAAGAATTCAGAGTCGAAGAAGAAGAAAAAGAAGAGAAGATGGGTTCTGGGAATCAGACACAGAGGTTGGAATATCCCTCTACCGTATGCAAACTCTGTGACCTCGGGCAAAGCACTGATTGCTTTTTTAGTAAAACTTCAGTGCACTCACCCATAAAACAGAACAATCAAACTAATTAACTTAGGGGGCTGCTGTAAGGTTAAATTAGATAACACACACAAAACACTTAGCAAAGGTGTCTGGACATGCTCAGGGGTAATTTAAAAAGTATTTAACAGTGGGTTCAGCACACACGATAACCAATTGAGATAAGAGTCTCAGAGGGGAGGCTGGCTGCAAACAAGCAGCTGACTCACTCAGCAGGTTCTGGCTGAGTATCATCAGCTCCTGTCTATCACGTCTGTTTTCCATGAGATAGACACCTTTTCCTTACTTCCCACTTAAAAAGGACACTTGATTCCTGCTGGTCAGGGGAGGAGGGAACCACAAGGCTTACTCAGGTCTCTCTCTCTCAGTACAGTCTGGGATATCCTTTTCTTGGAGGAATCGGGAGGGCCCACCCATGTGTACTGAAGTCATAATGTAGTTGCCAATGTCTTCACAAATACTCAGACTGCATAATCTCCACAGCAATTTTTGCATACTTGCATGAAGGACTAAGATTGCTCACAATTGGAATGTTGAAAGAAAATGCTTTCTCATAAATCAAATTGGCAATCTTTGAACATGTTTAAAAATAAAGTAAAATGAGCTCACAAATCTCCAACTACCATGATTCAAACAATTGAGATGAAGAGGCACACGCGTTTACCTGGAGGGATCCATCTGTTGTTCTCCCTTTGGCCTCTCTGGGATTACGCGGACGATTATCTGTTCGGGAGTGATCATCGTTTCCTACAGAGACATTTTAAAAGGGTTCAACAGTTACTGATTCTAACAGGCTGACTGGAAGCTCTTTATTTCCAAATCCTCCATTTATTTAGGCCAGGGGTGTCAAACTGGCGGCCCGCGGGATTTTTTGTATACTGGTCTTCAGTAGTTAAAGGGTTAATGAGGGAATTGTGTGTACGGTATTGCCTCGATCTCCCCTAAGCGCTATTTTCTTCATAACGATTTTTCCTATTTTCATTTTATTTCAGTGCATCGTGGGCCACAAAAAATTACCTCGAGGGCCGCATGCGGCCCGTGGGCCGCCAGTTTGACACCCTTGATTTAGGCCAACCACAGAATCTAAAATATAATCAACAACCTAGTGATTCCAGTTCCATGAGGGTGAATAACCTAGCTTCCTACCAAGAAAGAGAAAATATTTCGAAGGCATTACAATTCTGCATCAACTGGGTCACAGGTCAACTTGAGCTCATTATCAGACAGTATGGCTGGAATCCCCAAAGCAGCTGAACTAGTTATCAGTGTTTGCTCATCTATTCTACATAAACCAGAAGGAAGTGTTGTCCAATGTTCTGTTCATTAGAATATGAAGGAAAGGCTGAGAGATGGTGCCTTGGTAACGCACCACTCAGTCATGCAGATTTTTCACAGCACTTCAGACAGTCGTTACAAGTCACCTTTATTCCCTGACAAATGGAAACTTCTGTACCTTTGAAGCCGCCTCCGCGTCCCCTTCCTCCCTGTCCTCGTCCTCCACCGCCGCGCCGGCGCCCGTCTCCTCTGCGCAGAAAGTTCTCCCTCTCTTCCTCTGTTGGAGCTAATGACCAATCACTGAGTTCGTCTCTGTGGTCAGATTCTGTTTCAGAAGCATTTGATGCTTCAGAATTAGTTCCTATCGAGAGTTAAAAGTTATATACCGTTGTCGACTTAAAAAAAGAAAGTTAGGTTAACAGAAGCTTCCAGAGACGTTTCAGGGGTAATCCAATACTCTTCCTAATTTATCAGCCCACCAAAGAGTATCATCACCTTCCCTTTCGTAAAACAAATGATCTCAAATTCAAAATGAAGGGTTTTACACTATTTGAGGTAACTTTGGTTTTAAACATTTTTTATTCTGATTTAAAAAAATAAAAGGTACTTTATTAGCCACCTAAGTTCAAACCTGAGTATGTCCCATCATTTAACAGCTGTGCTCTTTTAAACATCTGTGCTCTCTGGAGGAAAAGTTGTCTACAATAGTTAAACGCAATACCTTGATAAACAAATCCTCTATAAAGAGAGGTCCTTAACGAAGTTTGGCTAAGGGACAGAGGGGAATGCCCACGTATGGATCACCTCTGAGAAGGTGGCAAGAAGGCCACCATGACAACTGTCTCAGGGAAAGGTCTCTTGTGGGGCCAGGGACTGGACCCAGCTGAGCAGGGATATGCTTGCTTGATGCTTGGTCCGCAATCTTCCCTCCCTCCCATTCCCACTGGAATAATTTATCATCAATGAAGGAATTATTATAATAAACTCGTTATGTCTGAGGGGTGGCTTAACGACATAACGGATGGCAGTGGGGGCAAACGGCTCCACAGTGAGGTGGGGCTTCAACAGCAAAAGTCACAGCTTTATGGGAGAGGGTTCGGGGTTTGGGTCAAGGTTGGCCTTATGAGTAGGCACATCTCTCCCCAACTCCAGAATATCAGCTCTACTACCTCTCTCTCTTCCTCTGTTGGAGCTAATGACCAATTATAGCTTCACCATTATAGCTTCATTCCTGTGGATCTTGAAGGCTTTTTCCATCTTAAAGAGTTCCCTTTTGAAATGCAAATATTTGTGAGATGGATTATACCTTATACCATAATTAGCAAGTTACATAGTAGATACACAGTTGAGCAAGAAAGACAGTCGGCAACTGGCGGGTGGGGACGGCATTCATTGAGAGGTACTGGGAGAGAAGAAAGCAGCACTGACAGGAGCTGGGGAGGCAAAGAGAAACTTCGCCTGCTTTTCGACTGTGCCTAGGGCTGACCTTGGCCATGCCATTTAAAATCACCTTAGCAGCCACAGGATGCAGACCCCTGATTTACACAGTCCATCCAGCAAGTATGACCAGCACATGCCTGACAAAAAATGAGCCACAGTACACAAATGAAAAAAAGGTTTGGCTATACAGTAATAAAATCAGGAAAGGCCTTAAGAAAGTCATCAACACGCAAGGGATTAAGCAGATTTATCCCCAGTCAGAAAGTGGACAGAAGTCACACCTGCCCTGTGAACGCTATGTGTCATTATCAGGTTTTTACTCTATGTCTCTTGCGACACAATTTGACCCACTGTCCATCGGAAACCATGTAGTGAGAAATAGTTATACTGGGGTTCTAACGAATATTAGAGATTAGCAGCTATTAAGTCTAGGAACAGATAAAGTTACTGAGGAAAATGCTTAGTTTGTACCTGAAGTATATCCAGGACCGCGTCTGCCGTGCCCCCTATTTCTGTAAGGTCTACTACCTCGACCCATTCCTTGACCATCATCAGTCACATAGCCTTTTTCCTTATCTGTACGATTTGGTGGTGGTCTAGAACTAGCTCCAATCTGTCGCAACTGCTCATCAATTTGTAATCTCTCCAAACGCAACTGGTCTACTTCCTATTTAAAATATACAAGATAACAGTAAAAATAATTTCACATTTTACTTAATAATACCTTTCTCCTTTTTATCAGATAAAACGTACACTGGAAATATTTCAATTTCAGTTCTACATTTACAGTAAACAATGTTACACAGAGTTATCAGGACACTGAATGGTCTCCTTAACAAGAAAATTACTATAGATAACAGATTAGTGATGTCCAGAATTAGAGATATAACAAAAATACTCAGCATTAATAGAATTTAAAGTTGTTTGATTTGGCACTATTATCCAATGGAATCAGCTAAGGCATGGATATGCTAGTTGGGGGACTTCTTGATGACAGGATATTAAATAAAGCAACTCTAAAATGTATGAATACAGAAAAGTGACGTTTAAGGTTTCACCAGCTAACCCTAAAAAAAAAAACAAAAAAAAAACATACATTGTAAGTAATCTGAATTTAGAGAGACTTGCCAGTTAATATCTTCATTTACAAAGCATTGAGTTTGGGCCATCTCCTGTTTTCAGAGGATGTACTACAGTAGGTCTTTGGATGTGATTATACAATTGAGGCACAATTATTTTCAATGAACTGAAAATGTTCATATTCCTTATATGGGGAAAGGGGGGAAACCAATAGCTGACCAAGAAAGTTAGGTCTTATACCATGCCTTGAAAATCTCTTAAAGACTTCAAACTTAGCTAGAACAAGTATGATGAACAGTAGAAATTCAGCTGATCAAAATACCTGGGGTCCACTGACAGGCCCTTACATACACTGCTTTCAATATGTTGGGTTCTGTCAAATCCACATGAAGCCTCAATTATAACCCCTGTCCTTCCAATTCACCCATAAACATCTCATTTATGGGCTATCAGGAGCTGGATCCATAACTATAGTAGTACCGGGTGTCTTAGTCTAGCTGAAGCCTTCAGAGCGACTGGACTGTCCACATGAACATCAGTGGAGAAGCCCCTGGAAAGCTATGTTCCTAAAATCTTGGTTGTGGCAACTTCTGGAAAAGAAAGGGCAGGTAAGGATCTAGGTGGGTTTGAGCTGTACTCTGAATTAGAATTTGTTTCACAAAGGACTTGAGCAAAGGAGAGATTGCAGCTGGGTGAGTGGCTTACTCCAAAAGTATAGTTATAACTCATGGAATGGGTACATCTTGCAAAACATAATGGTAGGCCAGGTAATCTCACTGGGGCAAAGCAGGCACCTTTTGGTGATGGAAAGAATGGTAATAGGACAGCTGCTGACAACCAAAAAAAAAACATTCAATTGTGAAGAATAAAGTAAAAGATCCTAAGGAAGAACATTAGTCAAAAGAACAAGGGATTGAAACAATGTAATCCTAACTCTCCAGGTCTTCATAATTAATTCAAGCTAAGAATATAAAGAAAAACACATACAACAGATTACACATAAAACAGAGTTGCAAACAAAAACAAATAAGCCAATCAGTGGGCTATTCTATCCATGCAAGCCTTGCCGGATAAATCCTTCCTACTCTCAATTATTAACCGACTGCCAGAAGAATGAATGAGATGCCTAGCTATTGCAATGTTTCTTCCTTATTTGCATACAAGTAGAAGTTGTTCAATTTTATTTCTTTAAGAAACCCTCAAAGAAATCCTTAAGATAGCATCATCAATAAAAGAGAGTTGGACTCCTTTTTAAATCTTATTTAGTGCCAGTTACATTATAATTTTGATACATACATGGATATAAAGAATATCAATGTGACATGGATAAGATTCCATTTCATTGACTTAAGAGAACATTTTGGCCAAAAGGAATTTTAAAAAGCATCTTGTCTAGTGGAAGTGACTCGCCTAAACTCACAGGGCTACTTCACGGCAGAAGGGACTAGAAGCAAATAAGTGCATTGCCAGTCCTGTGCTCTTTCTAGTCCACCTTCCAGCCCCCTGCCTCCTGCTTTCTAGTGTGCACTCTAGAGGAGGCGTAACTGCTACTAACACTAACTAAAACGAGCATTTACAAGACACAAATCATTTCTATTTTGTATCACAGAGTAGAGAAAAATACAAAGGGTAAACATTTCAAAAGAAGATTTCACGAAAGGCTGGGATTTCCTTGATAAACAACATAAAAGGGACAACAAAGGCAAGTGTTACGGACACAAAATTTGGCCCGGAAAAAACTCACAAAGGCTACAAAGGATCAACTGAATGAGAAGGCTATGTGCAGGATTGCCTAAATCGAGTGTAAGGGCTTAACAGAAGAATACTGGAAAACAGGGGAATTTACTGAGAACCGGGGTGCTGGTCCTTAAATGCATAACGATGAAAATTCACTTGTGTTTTCAGAAGGACTATAATAAGCTAAACCAAGTATTTTCTCTATTACTTTTTACAGGTGGTTCATTGTAAGGGACAGAATGCATCTTAACTGCTGAAAGGTTTCCTGTGGAGGTTTTATATTTTAGTGCAAAAAGGATTAGAAGTTAAAGCTCTTTCTCTTCTCACCTTTAAATAGTTCAGATGATAATCCAAAAGAACAGTGGCATTAGCGATGCTGTCCTTTGTTCCCACAAAAACAAATGGTACCATACCCTGAAAAAGAAATGGCAATAATGATCCTATAAAATTAATGATGGATTAATCTGAAAAAATGCAAATAATGACAATGACAGGGTCTGACAAACAGTAGGTACATAAATATTTGTTGAAAATATAAATCAACGCATGAAAACACAAGTAGTTTGTATATTTTTACACATCTACTGTGAATAAGGACAGATCAATACAGCAACTCCTTAAGTGTATCAGGCTATATTATGTTTGAAGCACTACTATTAAATGTTGGCAAAGTCACAAATAACGTAATTCAAAACGATACAAGCTTTAACATGAGATGTGCAAACAAAATGAATACTTTAGAATACTCTAATTTACCTACTACAGGTTTTATTGAGATCGAATTTTTTTTAAATCATTCAAAATTAAACACTAGGGTGCAAAAGTGAAAACTAAATCAACTTTGTTAACAAGTCAAGAGTACCCCCCCCCAAAAAAAAACTAACACAAACAAAATTAAATACATTAAAATGCACTAATTATTCTGTGAGGGAAAACAAAATCTTGGCACATCCATGAACATAAAATTTAGCATTTCAATAATGTGCTCTGGAAACTGTGAAAGGCTGAATCATCAGGAAAGTTTCGTATTCTCTCTATGGGACTACTTTAATATAAGGATAGAGTTTTTAAAAGGGAGTATACTAAAAATTTACATTTCCAGCCCATCAGTACAAACGAGAAAAAAGATCTATTTCCTATCACAAGTTATAGGGAAACCTAGGCCAGTTTTGCAAACAAACAGCTGGCAATTATGCCCTTCGAAGTTGAGAAGAGTTCAATATTTTGCTGCTGAAGAAATACAGACGGTTCCTGATATTCACAAGTGACTAAAGGCAAGCATCTTTGAGGTGGATATATTGTAATTTTCTAGGCGAAGTTTGTAAGGGTTAGATGCCAAGAAGCTGTCTCTGTGGAAGTATCACTCTTTTAAAAAGAGCATTCATTTGATAGGTGTGGCTACTGCTGGGCTGCTTTGGCTTGCTTGTATTCAGTACACAGCATCTTAAACGCATGTGGGGCTGGAACGGGTGTGTTTCTTTTTCCTTTCACATGAACGTGGCTGTTGATGGGGAACAAAACTGAACAATTAGGAAATACAGCTTGCAGACTGACCATCTAATAGGCAAGAAACTACTTAGTAGCAACAAGCACCTGAAGAAGCCGGTGCCACCGAAAACCCATGGCTTCGTATGGAATTTTTTTGCATCAAATAATGTATCAACTACGGAAATAATCAGGCCTATGAATTTGATCTCTTTTTCTCAAACATATTTTTGACTTTTGAGTTGTTTCCCCAACTGACGCTGTTACGAAGCAATTAACCGTATTATTTTCCAAAATGTTGTATGATGAAATGCTACACTCTTCCCTCGGGATCACATACAACCAAAATTAGCTTTGAAACCCTACGTCACAGATTTAATATGATCGACTTTGAAACAAAGAACTTTAAAACATTTTCTCTTTCAACATGTCCAAACTGTTGGTGTACCTAAGTGTCACGCTAATTTAAGCACATTGCTAGTGGACCAGAATAGCAAATTAAAATGGAAACCAGAGAGAGTACAATGGCGGCCTTCTATGTGGATACCAGGAAAAAGTGATTCCTCTTATGGGATGAGAACAGGGCTTTCCACCAGAGAGGAATACCCAATGCACTTGAGGTTCTGTTTCTCTTTGTAGAATGGTATTTTGGCTTTGAATCTCTTGGGAGTCATCACATTTTACCCAGAAACACTTCTCACAGGCCATGTAGGGGTCCCTGCACTCAAGGAACTCACAACGTGGCTGAGGAGATGGACAAGTGAATGTCTAGGTAGGAAGTGGTACGATCGGGTGAGCGCGCGGGAGCATGGGAAGGGGAAAGGCGTTTGGGCCAGTCAGGGGGAGGGGACCTGTGATAAGTACACACGGGAAGCTGCAGAAGGAGGGAGCTCAAAGCGGGAGGTGGCAGGAGGAAGACCGCTTGAGGTGGAGAAAACATTCACGTCTGTCTAGAAGCATCGGGGGGTGTACCAGTGTCCAGAGAACTCTAAGTACTTCAGTACGGCTCGAGCCTCTCTGAAGTGCAAGCGGGAGAAGTTGTGACAGATGCTACTGGACAGGTGACCATGAAAAAAAGGCCTTATCAGCAAGAGGAAGGAATCTGAGCTTCTCCCCAGGGCAATGTGTCCACATACCCACAAACACTCCACCAGCCTCCAACCCTGATGATCATCTGTAGTCTCTTCTTAACAAGGGGAATAAACATTGAAATAGAAAAATAAATGTATTTTTCAAGGAATGTTTTCCTACCTGCCAAGCCTTGAGTTCAGGTTTCTGGGATTCCCCTGCTACAATTGATGAAACCACTAACACCTAAAGCAGTATAAGGAATGCAAGTGATGTCATTAACTATAACAAATGATACACAGAAGCCTGAACGCAGGACTTTCACTGCAGGACTTCTAAACCCAGTTCGCTAAATAGTTAGGTTCGTTCAAATAGTGAAAACCAGTCTCTTAGTAGTAACTAATGCATCTAACAGAAGGTACATTCTGAGCTAGTACAACCTGCGAAATTTCAAGAGATACAGCACGAACAAAATTAAAGTCCACCCTCAAAAGAAAAATGGGACCATTAAATGCAACCCCATATTTTATGTTTACAACGTAAGGTTTGTCACTGTGAATAAACTGCAAAGTAGGTATCACTTTAGTCTGTAATATCTCATAAGCTAGCAATCAGATTTGCAAAAAATACACGAGTAGCCTAGAAGCCTAACCAGAGAAAACACCCGAAACACCAACTGTAATATCTGGGTTGAAGAAATGACTTTTAATGTAATTCAAAGCAACAAATATAGCTTACCCTCTGGACTTTTGTGCTGTTAGGTTGAGAAAAATGTGCGCTGTTTTCCTTTATATCTATATGTTTTTTTTCTTCCGAGGGAGTAGGTCCAACCCTTGAGCTACTGGAAGGTAGGGAATTTGGTGGCATAATTTCCTTGGAAAAAAATACAAAACACAAAAGAGAACAAAGAACCAATTTTTAAGATTGTATTCTGCTCCATTATTGTACCAATGATCATATTTTAAGACTATCATTTTTTTTTTACAAAAGCCACTCAGACTGCGTTAAGACTATCTATTATAAACAGTTTTGGTAAACAAAATGATAAAATACAAAAACTATGCAGTAAAAACCCCAAAAGATTTAACTTCAGCCAAAATAAACTTTCACAAAAGAAGGCTAGACAATATGTGAAAATTATGGCAATTTGGGGGGATTTTCTTTTAAACAGGACCATTCATTGTACACAGTCGCTGCCAAAATGCATATACTCATGCAGATAAAAGTGAGGGGTTATAAATTTTACAAACTGGGAAGCGATATTATATCCAGATAAAAATTTAAAGTATACAAAATAAACACCTACACACAAACTAAAAAGCCAAAGGATGAAAGCCAGAAAACCTACGCAGTGTCCCCATTTTGTCTTAGTAACATTAAGTGATATTTGAAAAGTGCTTTACACTTTTTTGAAGATCAAGAAATAAAACTAAAAGGGGTTAAAGTGATTAATCCAAAGTCACAGCATTAGAGAATAGACAGAGGCCATTATCTGCAACTGTAACATTAACTGGCAGGCCTCATAATCAAATTTTTACATCCACATTATGTGCATATTACAGAGGCCTCTAAATTATTATGTCAAATACAACAAGAAAAAACGTTTACTCTTATTAGACGAACCAGAAACATGCACTAGAACATACCTCCTCTTGTGGAACATTTTTCTCATTTTCGGCCTCAATTCTCACCCTCACAACACCTGACTTGTCCACAATCTCCTGAATCAGTTTTCCATTTTTTCCTATTACTTTGCCTAAGTGAAGAAAGGAATAATTCATGTTTGGTTTTAAGAACACATACCTCAAAACCGTAAGTACACCCCACTGTAAACTATCACATTATTTTATATAAAATTTCAAAACCAAACCAGAGACTCTCCAAAAAAGACAGTTAAACTGGCTTTCCATTTTATTGGGTCACCATTCTTTAAACTCCTTTGGTGAGGCATTAGAGTTGATTAATACTTGTGAACTGATTGGGTAATTTTGAATTTTTAAGGCAGTTCAAAGATAGGCTCTTGTTATGCACAAAAGGGTGCATTTGAAATTTGCTGGTCCAATGGTGTATATCACTCTTTCTGCCAATTTCTATCAAAGGAATTAAAGAAAAGGATAGTAGAAAATACCTTTTGCTTATTTATTTGACAACTTCAATTCTATCTGTACCTCATTTAAATCTGCTTCTTCACCCATGGTCAATACAGTCATGCACCGCCCAATGATAGGAACATGTTCTGAGAAATGCGTATCTAGGCAGTTTTGTCATGTGCAAGCATCGCTGTACTTATACAAACCCAGATGGCCTAGCATGCTACACACCCAGGCTATGTGGTATATAGACTACTGCTCCTAGGCTACAAGCCTGTGCAGCATGTTACTGCACAAAACAACATGAGATTAAATCAAGCCCATGAGAAAATGATGCAATCAAGAGGCAGTAAACACGAGATGTATGAGGCTGCTGCTGTTTGATGGCAAACTTTTTTCTTCTAAGTAGAAAGAGTATATTCCATCACAATGATAAAAAGTATAGCACAGTAAATACATAAACCAGTAAGTCATTTTATCATTATCAAGTATTGTGCACCGTACATAACTGCATGTGCTAGACTTTACACGACTGGCAGTGCAGGTGTGTGTACATCAGCATCACCACAAACAAGTGAGGAATGCATGGCACAGTGATGTCACGCTATCACTAGGTGATAGGAATGTTTCAGCTCCCTTATAATCTTATGGGACTACCACATATATGTAGTCTGTTGCTGAGCAAAACGTCAATATGCAGCGCATGACTGTATTTTTAGGATTTTATATGGCATGTTTATAGAAGATACTTTTAAGTTTTCAAATGGCTTAAGCTATACATACATGTACAAGAAGTGCACATTCTTCAGGCCAATGTGTTAACAAAGTATTACTCCTGTGCACTACTCACAAATTATATCAGTATATTAAAAAATAAAAGGGTAAGTCACAAAGCAAAAGATTAAGAGATCACACTTTAAGAGAACTCAAAATCACAATGAAAAAGCTCATAACCAGTTCAAGATTCAGCCTTATTCAATAACATCTGTTAAAACTCCAAAGACTTCAAATACCAGTAATGAACAGGAACTGGATCCTTTCTATCATTTTATAAAATTCAGTCATATGACCAACTGGGAAATGACTGCTTTCATAGCCATCATCATGTACTAATGTAAAGAAAGACATTACAAATGTAAGAACTACCGATTCCGGAAATCTAGATGCAAATAACACCTGATTCCAAGGGCTCTCCCTAGCTACCTAAAGCACCCTTGTGTGTACAGTCCATGCTCATCATGTGCCTGCCCCCCCATCTCGTCTGAGGTAGGGATGGGGAAAAAACTGGAAGCCAAAATTTGTTTTGAGCCAATCCTGATAAGAACCCAGGAAAGCCCTCTCAAACAGGGTCTTGTGGCTCTTCTAATCAGCACTGCCTTGGCGCCCTGGCAGTGTGGCAGCCTCACTCACCCCCATAATCTCTTTTGACTGGTCAGTGGTCAGGGAACAGAGCTGACACCAGTACATCAGGTCATCAGATCTAGGTGCTTTTGTCAATTATTTCTGCTCTTCTCGTTAAGTGAAAAGAAGTGTGAGGAGGAGAGAGGTTACATGGAGTCTTCCCACAGTTTGTTTTTAATCGATAACACATACTTCATGAATTAATGCTGATTTTAATAAAGGTTTAAATGAATTAGCAAAAAGAAAAATGAGGTTTTGGCCTATGTTTCTATTAATATCTTAACTATTCTGTGTTAACTATAGCTGATTGAAAAATTAAACCAGTTCACTGTCAAAGTGGGTGATGAACAAGCAAACTTTTAGATAAGAAAGCTAAATTAGTGTACATACTGAAGAGTTTGTGAAAAATAAAGACTATAAATCATATTATGGGACATGAAGAAAACTCATGCAATACTGATTAGACATCTCCCTAAAGATACGCCTGGCCAAATCTTATTATATAAAAAAGCTTTCTGAAAACTCCCAACACTCCCAGTGTTGACGTGGACAATCTCTGAAACAGAATTGCTCTATTTTACTAACTAGAAACGAAACAAAAATCAAGCTCATTGTACTTCAGCAGGTATTCTGATGAAAGTTCACTCACTTCTGGAACCCTCTACTTTTAATATGAAAAGATGCTCAACATCACTAAGGATCAAGGGAATGCCAATCAAAACCACAATGAGATCCCAACTCACACCTGTGAGAATGGCTATTATAAAAACAAACAAACAAACAAACTACAAGTGCTGGTGAGGATGTGGTGAAAAGGGAACCCTCGTGCACTGTTGGTGGGATTGCAAATTGGAGCAGCCACTATGGAAAACAGTATGGAGGTTCCTCAAAAAATTAAAAATGGAACTACTATACATACAACCAAGCAATGCCCACTTCTGGGTATTTATCTGAAGAAATCCAAAACACTAATTTGAAAAAATATATGCAGCCCTGTGTTCACTGCAGCATTATTTACAATAGCCAAGATATGGAAGAAACTGAAGTGCCCATCAACAGACGATTGGATAAAGAAGATGTTATACACACATTCACACACCCCCACACCGACAAACAATGGAATATTACTGTCATTAAAACAAAATTAAATCTTATCATTGGTGACAGCATGGATGGATTCACGTTATGCTAAGTGAAATAAGTTAGACAGAGAAAGACAAATACCATATGATTTCACTTACATGAGGACTCTAAAAAAAACAAAAACAAAAACAAACAAAAAAACCAAATAAATGAATGAATAAACAAAACACAAACAGGCCCATAGAGAGAGACCAAGCTAATGGCTGTCATAGGGAAAAAAGGGTTGGCAGGTACTTACAGTTTTGAAATTTAGTAGATTTAAGCACCTACATTCAAATCTTCAACTGAGATAATTAAGACTGCGATCGTTTCATAGCCCCATAAGAGGGATCAAATATCTATTCAAAATTATGAAGCCTCCAAATGCCATTCATTTTGAAATAAATAGATTGAATTTTAACATACGTAAAACGTACAGTGAAGAGGCTGGGCAAAATTGATCTTTCTGGGCGCTAGTAGGTTTGAACCAGCAAAGCAGTATCTTTTGCACACCTTCTGAAATGAAATCTTTGAGTATCACATTTACCAAATATTTTCTGTCCACTATAGCTACAGACCATATTTCAAAGACTAAGCTTCAATTAAATGACCTCTTGAATGAGTTAAAATGAAATTCTATTGGCATAAATTATTTACCGAACTTTTGTTTTCGTAGTCTACGTCAACAGCAATTTCTGACTCACCTACTAAGTTCCTAGGAACTTGTATGACATCTTCAGCAAATTCAAGGAAGCTTCTAGCCTTTTTCACTGCATCCTGATCCTAAAAAAAAGGGGCAAAAGGTGTAAGACAAAAGGTGAGCCACCTGAAACACTGGTTTTCACTGTAGGAAAAAACCTATTGAATCAAGTATTTACCTCTCCATAAATATGAAATGTGCAGGTATCTTCATCTAGATCGATTGCAGTGACCCCAGGTACTTTTCTAGCTTGCTGAATATTAGCACCATGAGTACCAATAGCTAGACCCATCAGATCTTCTCGAACGATAAATTGTTCATGAAATCTTGAGGCAAGCTGCCTTGAACTCTGAAGAGAAATGCACATCTGATTAATATGCTTTATCAACTATGGAGAGCTATATTTAGGTCAGCCATGTAAATGATCTTGACCCTGTATATCAGGGGCCTATAAATTATAGTTTCAGTTGGAAACTACCAGGTTTCAGGAAATGTCGCCCACAGCTTAAGTTCTTTTTAGGTTAATGAAGGTCTACGCAATTTGAAATATTTTTGTTAACAGGAAAGGGCTTGTTGACAGTTTCCCAAGGTAGCTTTTGAAAACCTGTTTGCAAGGCTGCCTTAGTTGACCAACAACATCAACAGTGTAGTGATTAAGAAGCAGATCAGATGTTCCCAAATAAAAACCAGCTCACTGGATCTGACAGACTCGACATTATTTAACTAAAAGAAAAAAAAATTACGTTCCATCTCTACAGAAAATTGTGTTCACTTCATTTTTATTAAAGGATTATCGGTAAGTATACTTTATTTTCCGGGAAACAGTGCCATTCGTAGACCTTATCGCTAGATACTATGGTCTAGACATCCCTTTGATCAAGTGATGACATTAAAATGGCATCCTCCCACCCCAGCCCCCAACCTGAGGAAAGGAATCAGAAAAATGGCTGGTATAGTCATTAGACTGAATGACCACAGAATGTCAAAGATTTACAACTTCTCTCACATATGCACCTGCAACCTCGAACGAGATCAGTGTCTGTAAGACCTTGTGATCTGAATCCACAAGTGTCATGAAATCTTTCGAATATTCAGTGATGACAGAATGCAGTTCAACTGACACCCAAAACTTGTGGATAATCACTCTCTTTAAGTAGTATTATCACAATTTAATATTTAGTTCTAGCATGCCATTAATGAAAACCAAACATATTAGTGGCTCATGTTGAAAAATGGAAATTTCTTATCTGAATATGTGGATTTAATATTAGTAGTGAGGAAAGACAGGCATGCATACTAGTTTCTCATTATTCAACATACCTGACAACAATTTGAATGAATGAGTGAAACTACTGCATATAATTTTAACAGTACAACACCTTTTTTGTAGGTTAGAGTAACAAAATGTATCAAATATGCCTAGGACTTTTCAAAAGTCATGTTTTTGGGGGCCTGGTTCCTTCACTTGGTTCATTATTTTCATTGATAATTCACTGGTAAATGGTAAGCCATAGGTATGATAACAGATGATTTAAGAATTAGATGTTTAAGAGAAGGCATATGAGTATATTTCCATAATACTCATCATGAAAGTAAGGAGGCTGTTCTGGCCTAAAAGTTATGAATGAGATAATCGCTCAAGAAACCACAAACTTGTGAACAGAGGGACATCGAGAGAGAACGAGAGTAAAACACAATTCAACAGACCTCCATGGCCATGAGGGGAAAAAAAGTAGCAAATGGAGAAATGAATGTCTCCTCTCTTGCTAAGCGTTCAGCAATCACACATCAAGTTGGAAGGTGGCAAGTTTCACAGGGCTTTACAAGAACACAGCCTTGACTACCTTCTCTTTCAAAATGTAGTTTGGAACTGCTTTTACTCTTTCCTATTTCAACTACATTGTCTTTTCCTTCTAATGAAATGAATAATGATGAGGAAGTCTGGAATCTGACAGTACTGTACTTCAGTTGGCACATTACACTCAAATCCATTTAGTTTCTAGGGTAATGGATGGAAGTACTAGATAGTTATCAATGGAAACAAATGGATGGTGATGGAAATTATTGGAGGCTTAATAAAAGTAGATAAAATGCACCTTAAGAGACGAAATAGTAAGTTAGGGAAATAGCCTCCGACAGGAATCTGAAGACAGGAGTTTTAAAGAGTGACAACCAATTAGAATGAAGAAGTTCTATACCCTTTTAAACAGAGATAAACATACATAATGAAAGGAATATGATTAGATATTTAAATACTCTCTAGTACTTTAATGATAACATGTTATATGGCAGAAGCATTGCCTCATTTTATTAGCAGCTTTGAAGAACTTCTAGTAAAAGCGACGTGATCAGAAGTTCCTTAATATACATAACTGCCACTTAATTCTAAATCCTCAGGCACGAAAGCTTTAGTGTGATTATGCTTTGCACAATTTAATTTTTCAAAATATAGACTATAAGGAATTGCTAAGAAACAATAAATAAAGGACAACCTGTCCACATTCAAGCTTTGTAACTGAACAGTTATCATTTCTAGACAGCCTTACAAGCAGCACGAGGGAAAGCCACATACCTCAAGCTGCTTGCTGGCTTCTTCATTTCTCAGTATCAGGGACAGCTTAGTGCGCAGACTCCGAAAGTGCATGTCAATCAGCATGTGTGCTCGCTTTGAGGTGACTTCACTGATAGACTAAAAGGTATAAATTAACACCATTATTATCAAAGCAAATGCCCCAAATGAAATACAACAAAACAGGTAACTCAGAAACACTCACCAAAACGACAAGCTGAAAATTTTCTGGATCATAAGTTACAGAGAAGGCGCCAACTGCCTTTTTAAAGTCCTTGTGTGCCGATTCTTTGGCACACCTGGAAATAAAATAAATATCCATTGTGAAGTTAAGATGAATGATTACCAGCTACTGGCTTATAAATATATGCAGAGAGATTTGCGGATTCATATTAAACTTGAATTATGCAAAATACACTACATCCATTTAAAACTTTAGTTCCTCTGCTGTACTTCTCTGAAATATTCAGCTCAGTCAAGCATTTGAGATTACAGAGAAAGAAAACCCAGTTATGTTCTTACGGGATTACGGATGGTCTCAGTTTACCAAAGGTGACACATTTAGAGGAGCTGCTCTCCTCTGCAGGCTTCCTCATTTCAGTGACATGTAATTCAGTACTTTCCTTGCATCAAAACTGTTGAAAACTTTGCGGGATAGCTATTGGGTATCAGACTTTGTTTTGTTGTTTCTTTCCTAAAGAAAAACTTCTGACCAATTTAAAAAATAGAAGGAAATATAAATGAATCAGAAGGCACAGAAATGTACGTGCCTATGCAATCTCTCCCATCAAAACGCAAGAGTCCTACGTATTCTGAACTGCAAGTTCATGTTTATCTAAAGTGCAACATGTCCAAATCAAACTTACTATATCCCCTTGAAGAAATCTTTAAAAACAAATCTCTTATCTAAAGAGTCTTTAAGCATTACTGCAGATCAAGGGTTGTAAGACAGACATGACCGTTTGAAGCTTCTCTTGCTTTATTTATTATATATTTCTCTGAAAACATTAGCTAAAGGGAAAAAACCTGGAGTAATCTTGTCTAGAATTTGATTTGTGACTTATGACAGAAAATGTGTATTAATGTTTCAAAACCTTAAAATTACGTGAACAAAGTTAGTTTATTTCAGAAAACAAATGTACGAGGTGTGATCACAAAATACAGTGAATGTTTGAATTAAAAAAATATTACAGTAAAAAACACATTGCCATGAATACCCCTCAAAACATTCCCCCTCGCTTTGAACTCACTTATCCCATCGTTCTGGCCACTTTCTGAAGCCGTTCTGTAAGTCCTCTTTCGTGAGTGTCTTTAGCTGTGCTGTCATGGTTGCCTCGATGTCCTGAATCAATTCAAAACCTTTACTTTTCATGATCATTTTGACTTTGGGGAAGAGCTAGAAGTCGCTGGTACCAGATCCGGTGAATAAGGTGGATGAGGACACACCGTAATGTTTTTATTTGACAGAAATTGCCGTATACCAGAAGTGATGTGTGACACGGAGCCTTCCCATTGTGATCACAAAATACGGTGAATGTTGTTGCTGAGTGCCATCAAACATGGATCTTCAATACAGAAAGTCACGCATAGAACATTAGTAACAGTGCGTGACAAGTGTCAACTTGTTTGGTGCAGTTAGTCGGGTGAGAGCTAAGGCTGAGAGAAGGTGTGTTTTAAAGTGTGCCGTAAATCATCCTCCATCATGACAAAGCTCTGTGTCACACATTGCTTCCGGTAATATGGCAATTTCTGTCAAATAAACACATTACAGTGTGTCCTCACCCACCTTATTCACTGGATCTGGCACCGTGCGACTTCTGGCTCTTCCCCAAAGTCCAAATGATTCAGGACATCGAGGCAGCCATGACAGCGCAACTAAAGACACTCATGAAAGAGGGTTTCCAGAACTGCTTCAGAAAGTAGCAAGAACGATGGGATAAGTGTGTTTGAAGTCAGGGGGAGTATTTCCAGAGGGATTCATGGCAATGTGTCTTTTACTGCAATATTTACTTTTATTTAAACATTCACCATATTGTTTAATCACATCTTGTATATTAGCCATGTATCTAGACTAGTAAGTTTAAACAAGTGTGATACTGGCTTAATTATAAAACTGGAAAAAACTAAGTACTTTTTTTTTCTTTTTTACCAGTTTTGCAAACCAGTTCCACTGAATTTAAAAACTGATTTCTATTATTTTAAAATCTATATTCTTTAAAAATCATTGCATATCATCTGTTAAGTTCACAGCTGTTGCCTACATACAAACTTACATCTGTCGTAAATCTTCTGGCACGTCCAGTTTGATTTTGTGGAAAGTATCTTTTGTGGCAGGTTTGTTGGGATTCACTGATCGAAGACGTTCAACTGTGACGATTTCATTGTAGGTAGCATCACATGCTGCATATTCTATCACGTAAAACTGAGAGAAATAAATAAAAGTCATTCCTGGTCAAAGTGTTTCAAGTAAGAGCAATAAGCTACACACCTATTCAGTAATTTTTTAATTCTCTAGAGGGGAAAAAAAAACAAACAAACCTGTATTTGATCAACTAACATGAAACATACTGAACATGTAGAGAAAACATTTTAATGACTCAAGTTAGATATTACTTTTAAAATAGAAATCCAGACTGAAATGTAGTACCTGGGTTTAGAAAAGGGAAAGAGTATAAGAAAAAAAAATTTAAATTTGCATTTTCCTACCTCACCCTTTATCATCCTCACTTTAGCTAACCACCAACAGCAAGGTTCTTTCTCATTTGCTCTGGAATAAACCTACACAAAAATTACAACAGAATATTTCATAATTAACATCATTCAGAAATCTATAGATTAGCAGACATCGAGGAAAATTTTCTTAAAATGACCCTAAGGTGTCTTTCAAACCCATATGCTGTATCCTTAAACCAGATTATACCCCTACAGCTAGACATACATAATCAGAAACTTCCTGATTACCCAGGAGAGCCCTGTAAAAAGTGCTTTCCTATTTCTCTGTGCTACTTCAGCAATAATTAGTACTCTGAATATGAATGCTCAAGAAAAGTTGTTCATAAACCCAAGCATACTTTCATTGGGTACTTTGAGAGCTATGAAAATGTATCTAAAAATGTACCGATTTGCTTTTGTTTTATTCTCTTAAGCGAATTACTGGAAATGACTGATCCTGGCCTACTGCCAGGATCACTAAGTGGGTAAGGCTGCTGACCGCTCAGCCCACTAAGGACACCACTCTGGCATGTATGTCTCCTGGGCATGTTTAAGACGCTCTGATCTCCTGTCACCTCTCCACTAAAATGGACAACTCCACGCTAGCCAAGCCTCTGGATACCGCCTTCCTGCTCTTACACACTGTGGATCAGTTCTTCTAACCAATCTCTCTCGTGAGCACTTCAAAGTTCACTTGCGATGTACAGCATGGAACCTTTTGTGAAGACACTAGCAAATCAAGGTTAATAGGAAAAGAGACAACACAGTATACATGGAGAGAGAAACAAACAGAAGCAGAAAGCAGCAGTAGGAAAGACAAGGAGGACGGGGAGAAGGCAGAAGCGGGGAGAGAGAGGGTTACAGAGCCTGAGGCTCACAAGCAACTCAAGGCTTCTACTATTGTCTCCCTTTTATGACTGAGATTACTAGTTATATAACACAGTGACTAAATACAACTTAACCCAACCTACTTTCCCTCCTGCGACCATAACCCCCTGTCAACTGTGCTCTAGCCACAGATATAACCTGGCAATTTTTATGTAATATAATGAGGTTATTAAGGCAACAGTGTCTCATTGGTCCCCACCTGTCATGTGAGTAAGTTGGGGAAAAGTCCCCTTTACCCATCATTATTGTAAGTATTCCTGATATAGACAGACCAACAGACCTGAGGTCTTTCCTCTTTTTATAACCTAACTTAGTGATTATACACTACAATGACTAAATACAACTTAAAAAGCTTAACCTACATTTCCCTGTTGGCATCATCCGTCCTTTTTAACTCTGCTTTAGCCAGAGCGATAACCTCAGTTATGTATTATTGTTAGGCCGTTACAGTGACATCACCCTAACAATAGCATCTCATTGGTCACCACCACCTGTCATGTGACTCAATTAAAAAAAAGTTCCCTTTATCCGTTCAAACTCCTGATACAAACGTATGGAAAGTCCTGTCCTTGTCTTCAGGAAGCTTGCAGTCTCCTGGGGGAAGTGGCCAGCGAAAGGTCCTCAAGCACACTGTTTGGGATCCCTCACAAAACGAAGCCCAATTCTTTACGCCTAGCAGATGCTGAGTCCATTTTCAGTACATAAAAGAGTACTTTTATTCTATTTCTACTTTAAAACTGTAGCGTAAAGAACACAGGCCTGGACACCCAGAGATGTTCCCTGAGCACTCTCTCAAACAGCACTATTGCCCCTCCTTCCCCTCCCATCCTCTTCCAGTTTTTTCTTCCTAAGACTTCCACCTGCCCTAGTAGCTGTCCTCACTAGAATGTGACCTCATCAAAGGCAGCAGGCTGTTTTTCGTTTCCCCGCACCGTCTGTACCTAGCATACAGAAGGAGAATGCAAAGACCTAGGACGCTTTACCTCACAAATGTCTACTTAGCGGCTGTCTGCAGGCCACCCATGTTCTTTCTGAAGTTGCAACTACTAACAAGGCGTTGCGGAGAAAGAAGAGAAGCTTAAAATGGAGCATGTGAAAGGGGAGGGGACAACACAAAGCTGACTCCAAGTGCCCTAGGGCCCCCCAAAGTTTCAGTGGCTAGAGAAATCCCAAACCCAGTGCTTTTGTTAACGTGTTCCATCTCCATAGCATCTTTTGGTCAAAAACATGAATGGCACGTGAGCAAGTAGTTTGCCATGAGCATGCCCTGTGAAAAGATGTTTTCCCTCTATGCACAAATACTAAATCTTATAGCTGGCTTTTTAAAGATACACCAGGAGGATGTACGGCTACTTGAAGAAATTCTCGGATCATACTCTGTTCTAAGCCATGAGGTTTTCTCCTTTGTCAGACTAACTTTCCTAATCCAAAGATTCCGAGATTGAGGGAATAGGAAAAGGAGTACTGGTGGGTGAAGGATAGCAGTGGTGACTTTAAAGACAGATGTGCCCAGAGTGCATCTCAGGCAGCCACATATAAACATCATGCATTATTTCCAATCATTATTAATATGGCTCAGTCAGAAAGCACATGTCCATCACAGCTAACATCCTTAAGGTGGTTTAAACAGTGTGAAAGACACAGGGTACAAAAGGCACAGGCAAATTAAATGCTCCCACTCCATCAGGGCTTAGTAATGCAAAACTTACCTCCACTTCATCACTTTCATTTATATCTTTATTATAACCTACAGGTGGTGGGAATCTCACATCGTGGAATGGAATCTGCCTCTCTGGCTGCCAGCTGCAAAGAAGCAAACACACAATTCTTTAACATACTTTTCCATTTAACAGACATGACGACCACGCTGCCATCAACTTTTGGTGAAGCGTGACCCTCTGTTTTCCTCGTTTAAAGCAGCAAATGCTTTAAAACTATCAGTGTTTTGCTGAGTGAGGTATCATGGCAATACAGAGACATTTCAACGAAGTCTGCATGCAGCACAACAGCCTTGTCGCTCTATCGGGGCTATTTCGCTCAATACAACAGATCGACATTACAATTTTCCAAACAAGGCTTGTTTTCTAATAACTTCAACCTCTACAAGTTCTACACATAAGGCCACAACAGCCATTTCCTTTGATGCTCAAAGTAAATGTTAGTGTCAGTAAGTGTTAGTCATGTCATCACCAGACTTTTGCTTGCAAAGGAATTTGAACCACATTCCAATGACCACAGAAACTGGTCCTAAATGCCCTCTAATTCCCAAGCAAAATGGGGCAACCAGCACATTAGCAATTCACAACTCACTTTTCCCCCTTTAAATTTTAGATCCCACGAGGTGGTCAGTTCTTGCCATGGATAGCTGGCTGCTGATCAGTATGACGTACCAGCATGCACTGGCCTGGTGGGGTCTCCTAAACCACAGAAACCCAATGGAAACAGCCTATAGGAGCTCAGCAAAGTGCCTAGGTTTTGTAAGTTAAAATGATATGGAACAATTTTGAAAAACACCAAATTATTCTTTTATATCCACAATGATATAAAATATTAAAAGACAAACTTTGCAAAAACATTGGAGGATTCAACTGCTGAAGCAGTCATTTAATGAGAAAAGTACTAATTTTTTTAAAAGAAGAGCTATTATGTATAATAGTAAAGGGTAGGCAATTAAGTCATAATTTGTGGAGATCTGATTAGGGCATATATTAGACTGAACCCTTTCTCTGAATTATTATACACACTTGAAAACTATAAAACAAAAAAATTTGTCTTTACTTCAGAAAACCTTTTTTATACTTACTGAAAAATAGTGACTTTAACATGTTACAAATTCTCTGCTAAATCTGATTTGTAAAGGAAATAATAATTTTCTTGGTTCCAAAGAAGGAAGCATTATTTTAAGTCTTAAGTGTACGAAGATAAAAATTCAAATTCTTTATTGAAAAAATGTGAAATATGGAAGGCAAAAACAAAATATCTAAAACCATTTGGTATTACAGGAACAGGAGTTCCTTTATGATTGAAAGCGTAAATATAGTCTGACGTTTTATACATTAGTTTGGTTTTTTTTAACAGAAAAACAGAAAGGAAACACAAGGAAGGGCAAAAAGCCTACATTGGTAGGACCTATCCAATCCTGGTGATGTGCTCAAACCCAGCATTCAATCTCAAACACATTCCAAGAACACAACGAAAAACAGTTGATCTAGTTCAAATTCCAGGGATGGCAGATAGCCTGAAGAGAAACTATTACACAGCTATGGTACACGAGGGAATCAGGAGGCCCAAAGATATGTTCATTCTAAGTTTGTAGGAGAAGTTTGATTGCAAACAAGAGAGAAGTGATCTGATAAATCAGTGTGTAAACTAGACACATTCTTAAATCCTGAGGAAATGACTGTTTGCTTAATACTCTAGGTTAAGGACTACAGGAGAAACTACGAGTGGCAAATAAAGATAACTCTCCTTTTATGGGAAACATTGTTTACCTAGTGATGGGAACAAGCAACAAAGAGCACAATTACAAGAAAAAAACCTACTCTGCAAGTTATCAAAGATTTCTCTGTGAGAGGTGTGATGTTGTTTTTCCAGTGTATAACCACGGATACTCAAGCACCAAAGAGGCAGATTCTGGCTCTGTGTATTCAGAGAAAGGTATTCGATCAGTCAAACTATAATTTGGACGGAGATTGTTAGTCTAGAGCTGAGAATAGGGTCGGATATTCTAAATGTTTTTATCTCTGTCCCCTTAACTGTGTTTTATGCATCCGAGACTACTTTGTCCTGCTGGTAGCTAAATGAATCTGTGAACAGTCTAATTGCAGTAAGTCTAGGTCAGGTACTATATATTTTAACAGATTTCTTGAGATATAATTCACATAGTATATAATCCATCCACTTTAGTATATGTACAATTTAATAGTTTTAAGTATATTCACAGATATGGGTAACCATCACCAGTCAATTTTCGAACATTCTCATCCCCTCAAAAAGGAATCCGATACTCTAGCTATGGCTCCTATCCCCCCCACCCCCGCAGTCCTAAGAACCACTAATGTATTTCTTCTCTCTATAGATTTGCAATCTGCTTTTCATATACTATTATTTCTCTTGGCACATAAGAGCCAAAATCTTGTAATTGTTGACCATTCTTCAGGGTTCAGTAAAATCCTAAGATCACGACCACATCTATACTTTGGCTAAGCAGTTTATCCGTACTCTGGAATCCTGAATGGCTACTCTGAGAATAGCCTTTATTAGCATTCAAAAAATTGAGTCAAGAGACTGTGAACTGCCCCCTCCAAACATGTTAACGTCTAGATTATTGATGACTTCATGTATCTAGTGTTCTAGGCCTGTAAGTTTTTTTATTTACTCATCTGACAGGAGAAAGCAGAAAAGATCAGTTACCACTCCTGTTGATTATAAATATATGAAACAGATCAAAAACAAGTTAATGGGTAAACATGACTATTTCCGATCAAATATACTAGAAAACTTACACCAGTGATTTTCGATTTTAACACTACAAAACTCACATTGATTTTACCAAATACCCGGGAATCCGTTCACTTTCATCTTTTAACAATTACAAATACTCCTATCCAAACTCTCAGTTACTGATACGGAAGAATCTGGTTTCTTTCTTCACATTCAAGGAAACTGAGATGTAAGGATCAAGATTATACAAAAGGGATCTCTGAGGTCATTAGCAGGAACACACTCTTTCCACTGGTTTAATACTGAGATGGTTCAGGAACTTCCTGGTCAGTAATAATGAAGATCCATTCCTGAAAAACACTCACACTAGACTTGAATTTCTCAAATGAGGAGTAAAGAGAATAATTAGCATAAAATATTCAAGAACCTAAACACTAAAATTCTATCAAGACACTTACTTGTTTTCAAATGCAACTGTTATTGAATCTTCATGAACATCCTTTACAAAAGCCTGTAAAAATAAACAGTAAAATTAACTTCTAAGCAAGCTTCAAGATCATTTGTTTTTCAATTTTACAGAGATACCAAACAGTTTCTGTTTAAGAACAGAATGGAGCTTCAAATGAGTTTGTCATTTTGTGAGGATCGCTCATTCATGAATCACACATATATTTAGCCACCTACTATGTGCTAGGCCCTAGGAATACTAATTAGTTAAAACAAAACATGAAGAAATCACTCCGGAGTTTAGCAGCTAATAGGAGAGGGAGAAGGGGAGGAGGAGAGAGGGAGGCAAGTTAAGTTGAAAATTACAATGCAGGTGGTGAGCGCAAAGCAGGAGGTAGACTTCACGCTGGAATTACTGGAAACTAAGAAACTTGTTCCCGAGCCACATGCCAGCCACGACAGATCTGCTGCAATCTATCCTTTTCTCCTTAATAACATTTTAGGAGTATACAATAATAAATGACTGAATATAATCACAAATCTATGTATACACAAGTACACTTAAAGTTTAACAACAATACGTTGCTAATACCACTAAAAAGTCCAATTACCAGAGTTTAATTAAATTCTCAATCTCACAGTCACTTGGAAAAAAATAGTAATATAAAGTACAGAGGTTTAAATCTTTTAAATCTGATGACGCAATAGCTAGTAATCTACAGAGAGACATAACAAAGTAATAGCTAATTACTGAGAATTCTTTAATCAGCATGCTGCCTGTAATTCTGTAAAATTAAGTTTTTAACAGGTGCAGAAAAGGAGGTTTTGCTTTTGTTTTGACAATTAGAGGAGTAGGATAAAGCATAAAGAAACCCAAGAGGCTTTGTATCTTAATTCTTTTTACAATGGCTTGAGAGATTTACACTCCTTACGCCACTCTGTCCTGTCCACGTTTTCTCTCCTTCTGTGGTTTCTCCCTACCTGCGCGGATCATGGCCAAAGTCCAAGCTTGTCTGGCTATAAAAGGCCCTCACGACCTGGCCCCACCTGCTGCTCTCACCACGCTTCACCTTGCACATCCTTGGAGGGGGTGACCCAGCAGCACCCAACTACTGGGGTCTCTCTTCGCAAAGGCTATTCCTTCTTCCCCACTGTCCTTCCCCTTTTCACCCAGCTATCTCCTACTGGTCTTTTAGGTTTCATTTCAGATGTCACCTCCTATGTATGAGAAAACCGGGAAGACTATGTTACATGCTAACCTCTGCATTCCTAGAGCATCCTCTGCTTATCGCTACTATAAACCCACCTCACTGTGTTACTGTTGCCCATTTCCCCACTAAGAGGAAACTTCCTGAGGGTGGGTCACAGGTCTTATTTTATTTACTGTTGGACTTCAGAGCGCCTACTAAGAACTCAAGGAATTGTTATTAAGCGGGTCACTGCCTAGGGGTTTCCTATCCTAACCTTGGAGGAAAAGTATGTGTGCGCGAGGCGGCTGGTATGTTGATCAGGAAAGACAAACAAGGTGACGTTTCTATCAAACTTTAAAGGCTGAGAAGAATTAGCCCAACAAAAGGGAGTGGAGGAGGGGAGGCAGGCCAGGAACAAAGGCTTAGACCTGGAGAAAAAGGGGTGCGGTAGAATGAAATCCTTTGTGGACAAGGAAGACACTGCAATTCAATGGGAAAAAGCACAGTGTTTTCAACCAGTGGTGCTGAGACAATGGGATGTCCACAGGCAAGAATAAATGTTGACTTTAAACTCGTACCAAGTACAGAAATCAACTACTAAAAGGTGCATCAGAGACGTAAATGTAAGAGCTAGAACTATGAAACTGTTAGAAGAAAACATAACAGTAAATTCTAATGGTTTTGGATATTGGGGAGATACCTAGTTTGGATTAAGACCGTCCTTTATCTTATGTATCCTGACTAACTGGCACAACTTCTGGCATATAGTAGGTGCCCAATAAAGGTGTTAAACAAACAAATGATTCAAATGTAAATGTCTTGGTAAATGAACATGCCTTTAAAAGCCTGAAGTTAAAGGAATTTTTTTTTCAAAACTGAAATGTCCCCAAATACCAAATTAAAACCTATCAGTCAAGTATTAGCTAGCTGCTCCTACGACAAGCAATGGCAAGTGAGGCGGGGCCCTGGAAATCACTTACATCAAAGCTACATAAACAGAAACACCAACCTTCTGCAACTGTGCTTAAACCTTAGGATAAAAGCAAAGCTATTCTAAAGGAGCTTTCCTTGTAAGACCGAGGTGGATTATAACGGAATTCAGGTGCTCTGCTATACGCAAGGTGGCTAAATTATTGGTTTTTTTTTTTTTTTTTTTGTTTTTTTTGTTTTTCAGCTGAGCCATCCCGCCACCTGTTGGCAGCTCACGGCTGCTCAGCTCGGGCTGACTCGAACCACTGTTGCTCAGAGCTCAAACTCTTGAGCGAGCTCTTAACCAACTGAGCCACTCAGCCGGCCCCTAAATTATTGTTTTAAGTTAAGCCTGTGTATATATCTTTATAGTTACTGGTTTAAAGAAGGAAGTCCATTTTCTCCCTATCATTTTGATCTTGCTTAGTTTTCCTCAGCTATAGTTAAATCACAAACATTTTCTATAGCCTAGATGTAAAACAGGTGCATGCCCCAGTGCTCTAAGAAGTTGTCTGTCTCACTATTACTTTAGGAGCAGAAAGGCTTGATTTTGAGATAAAACTGCAGGAACTGGTGGCTCTTAGTTTTATAAAGTTCAGCCCCCAAAATTATGGAGAATGAGAAGAACAGACCTCCCCCATTGCTCTCTTCACATCATGGCGAATACCAAATTACTAATCTGCTTTTGGGGGGGGTGGGATTAGATTAAGTCTCCTACTAGGATGTGATCTCTCATTTACCAGGAAGGGCATTCCTTCTGTCTTTATCCTTGTGTAAAGTTTTTATGTTTGCACGTCTTGGCGGTACAGCTAACCCTTGAACAACATGGGTTTGAACGGCACACGTCCACTTACACGTGGATTTTTTTCACTAAATACCTATACTGTTGTCGGTCCAAGGTTGACAATCTGCGGATGCAGAGGGCCAACTGTATGTATGCATCGATCTACGCAATTTTACACAGGGGACTTGAGCACCTGAGGATTTGGGTATCCGCGGGGGTCCTGGAACCAACCTCCTGTGGATATCAACGGACAACTAAGTTTTGGGGGAGTCAAAAGTTATAGGCGAATTTTCCACTGCATGGGGGTAGGAGAGTATGGCACCCCCAAGCCCCGTGTTGTTCAAGGGTCAACTATAATTAATATTAGTTACTTGCTGTATATATAATATATATATATATATATATATATATATATATATATATATGCTGAAAATGTTAAGCCCTTTAGTCAGCTGAGTGAACTTTGTTACAGCTGCGTGAAGAACTGTTCTCATTAAATCAGGTGTCTTTTCAATATTATCGCCCTTGTCTAAAACTGTGCTATGCAGCATAGCAGCCACTGGTAATATGTGACTATTTATATTTAAATTAATTGCATTAAATAAAATTAAAAATCAGTCTCCGAGTCACACTTGCCACATTTCAAGTGCTCAGTAGACACACACACAGCAGAGCTTGGTGCCCGCTGTAGCGCACGGAAAGACCATTTTCATCATTGTGGAACGTTGCACAGGACGACACTAATTTAAAACATTTACAAAGGTTGGGGACTGTTTTCAAACCCACATTAAAAGCACTGTGAAAATCACTTATTACTTCACTGCTATACATACCGGGGATGCCAAAACAATGTATACACATTTTAAGAGATGTTGACACTTTGGTCAGCGTTGCTCAAGCAGTAGTTTGCCATCATCAGAAGTGTCTGGATGCTGATGGTAACCACTCTGAGCACCTCTTGTCACTGCAGAAGTCAAACGTGACTTGTATTCATCTTTTGTTATCAGTGTATATTAATACAGTCTTTTCCTTTCTTAAAATGTGTAAACATTTTTTGGGCACCCTCTGTATTTTTTTTCTATTTGCCAAAAGTTATCGCTCAGTTTAATCAGTCATTCATCACATTTGCCTATTTCCTAAAATCAAATATTCCCTCAAAGGAGGAAGAACTGCAGAACTGCAACTGTCGTGACTATTTAAAAAAAAAAGCTTTCAAAGGCTCTGAAAGCAATTCCGGATGTAGTGTCAGAAACGGTTTGAGTAATCATGGCAGCCTACCAGGGCCACTGCCTTAGAGTTAATGAGGCTTATCTGTATATGGACCTCTGCATGATTGTTCCAAAATCAGTCATTTTTGGTCACTGTTTGCATATGAAGTGAATACACAGGCATGTAATCAGGGTAATAAATGAAACTCATCAGTTGCTCCAGGCCCAGACTCACACCAGGGCCATAATGCCGCCTACGATTTCTAAGGCCTTTTACTAAACTGTCACTTTCTACAAGGCTCCCGTCTTCCCGCTTCTCTTTATTCTTTCTCTAATCACTATCCTTTTGGCTCCGCCCCTTGCTTACCCCAACACTCATGCCCTCTCTTCCCTGGCCACCTCCAAAGCACCATCACCCACCCCCCACAAATCTGGAGAGCTCCATTTTGTTGAGATCCCTACCTATCTACATCAAGCAAAGTTGGTGTTTGGGGAGGGGAATCCTGAGAGGTTACCAAAGAGGGGAGATGGAGTGGGTCTGGTGAGAACTAGGGCTCTTGTAAGAGTCAGTAAACTTGGCAGTTAAGAGCTTCACAGTGAATGAGACCGAGGTCCAACATCTTGGTTCCACCACATCACAGCTGTGGGACCCTCCAAGAAGTGGGTCTCTGGGCCTCAGATCCCTCATCTGCAAGGGAGGCATGGGTACAGGGGGACTGCATCCACCTCCTACGGTTGTGAGTAAGGAAATCACACATGTCTAGTGCCTAGCAAAGGTCTGAGAGGGGAAGTAGAAGAGAGACATACTTTATAAAAGGTGCAGAACCATAAGTGCTCTGGCATTTGAGAAAATTACACATCAACAAAAGCACACTTTAAAAAAGATTTCAAAACTGGGATAGAAAGAGAAATG